GAGCTACCAGTACAAGGGCCTCGAGGTTGGGAAGGAGAAGCTACTTCGAGTGGTTGGGGGAAATGTAGGCGTTAGTATTGTGCTGGAGACATTCCTCAGTAGCCAGACCAGGAGAACTACTGACCTCACCCAGAACATGTACCGTGTTGAGCTAGGTTATACAAGCATTATATAAACTCAATTTTCCTCGTTTATCCTCCCATTTCGGGTCATTGTGGTAGCAGGAATCTGGCCTCAAATACAGAATTGTTCTTCCCTCGGGTATTCACCAAGTGGGTCTTCCACCATAATTACTGGCTACTGAACTACCACCTTTCTATTTATACCGATTATGAATTGGCAAGGGAAAAATGGAATTAAAATGGACGATAAAGCACAAGGGGTTCAAAGACAAGAATTGATGGAGCATTTACATTAACAAGTATAGAGTCGGTTGTATCATGACCACACAGCATCTTATATGTATTCAACAGTAAATTCGGCCACCTAAACTGCCAGGTTTCAAGGAGGTATGGGACCAGGTGGACTCCTGTGCAGGTTTGAGAAAGTGGCTGTGGACACCAGGTGCAGTAAGGATACACGCCTACTATCCTCACTGGTAAGGTATATTAATTTCTATATTGCTTCCCTGGCAGATAATCAATGATCAGTTAAAAAAACCTTTGCTCTAGGCTCGAGATTCCATTCGTACATTCATTCAGGTGGGAAGCTTCAGATGGATGAAAGTTTAGAGTTCACACATAGCTCGATTGAAGTTACCAAGTAAATGTATTGTGCTAGATGGTCTGGTGGCGTCTTGAAGCCGAATTAAGGCTCATCTAGCAAGAACAATAGTAGTTTCCGATCTTATGTGAACCTAAATTTTTTAAGCTGCTAAATTGTATACAAGTTAGAGAAATGTCGAGTCTAGTCTTAAATTGGTCTAAAACTCCCCAGAACACCGTTATTAAAGGAACTAAAAAACGGAATTTTAAAATTTAAAATCAAGTTTATTGTAGAAATATGTCGATCATATCTACAGTTAAATAAATACAGCAGTTCCCGCTCCTATAATTCTTCCCCACTCTAGCCGGGTTCGTCCTTAACTGCCCACATAACGAAGGTAGGTAGGTCACTGTGCCGTGGGTGAAGCTGGATTGGTCCACTTTCAACTAGAACGAAACTCAAATTCATCCCCTCACTAAACCATTTCCAGTAGTTATTCCACGTAGTTCTCGGATATCTGGAACAAGCAAGTAATCAGAGATTAAATATAGAAGTATACTTTGTATCAAACTCAATCACACAGAAATAATTCACTAAATACATTAATATATAACCAAGTTATATCAAATATAAATAGTTAATCAACAAAACTCATTTTTAACCAACAAGAAAATTGTACTCAAGAAAAATAACACCAGCATTTGAAGAATGAAGAGATGTATATCTATGGATCCAGTAGTATTACTTCCTTTGAGGTTATGATCAGTACTGACCTCCCGTCACAGCTTTCAGAGTATTTAAGGACGGCAGTGGTGGGGGGGGGGGGGTGATACATGTGAATTAGGCGGGAAAATCTTAACTGGGCTAACCACCTCTTAACTGGGCTAACCACCTCATCACAAGTGTTTAAGACATTTCATTTCTCGATAATTGTTCCATAAAACTTCACTATGTCGTGATTATTTATCGCCTTTCTATTGCTAGTTTAATATTTTTCTATTTATAACTTGTTAATTTTTCACTATAGAGATTAATGAATGTGGTTTACCGGGAGTTAAACGGGCGTAACAACCATTAGCGGCTTTACTGTGGTGGTGTCTGTTTCTGGCCGCCCATAGAAAGTCGTAGAATTCGTCATGCTATATTTATCAAAACTTCAAAAACCAGATCACAATTGACTTTGATGTGAAAGATTATGAATAAAAGAAATACAGCGCATATTAAAGTTGGAAGTTTCTCTACATTTGTCACTTCCACATAAATACACATCTGAATCTGTAGATAATGGTCACTCATAATAAGCTCATTTAAAAATGAAAAGTCTTTAAGCTTGGTAATAAAATAAACTAATTCAATAAATGTCTGGCTGGGTTCCTTCTATACATTCCTAAATCTACTATAGAATTCATTGGCCTCTTTAACAGTGTAAGCAACTGCCTATAGCCATTCAAGCAAACCATAGAGTCTCAGAAGCCTTATTGGACAACATCGTGACAAGTATTGCTAACAATAAAAATGGTTCAACGTCACACTGATTCTAAATAATAAAAGTTTCACCCTTTAAGTAAACCAGCAGTACTTAAGTATTCCAGGCAGTATATAAGTACCACCAACATATAGGCTTTACTAACGTACAGTATTGTTAATGAATGTGGTGAGAATACTTCAAAGTTTGTATATATATATAAAATAGATCTATAATTTGCTTTAGTTCCTCCAAGAAGTACAAGTTTCTGTAGTGCCCCAAGAACGAAGGCACATTTTCTTTCTTGTTAAATTACTGAAATATTTATGTTTTTCAGTTATTTCACACCAAAAATCATTTTATTTTCACAGACTCTATTATATGCTAACATAGTTTTATGTAAATGGTAATAAATGATAATTCAAATAGCTGTTTTATATATTCAACGTAAAAAGGTAATAAGATAAGGAATGATATGGAGGTGAGCGCCATCTATGAGTTAACAGCACTACTAAACCTTCATCACGGGGTACAGGGGGAGAGTTTCTCGTCTGGTGGTTCTTGGATCCATCACCAGCTGGAGCCACAAGACAGAGGAAGAAGGTGGAGGACGGACTAAGTGTACCACGATCTGACAGCCCCGAAAATATCGGCCTGAGGCATCGGTAAGACATTTATTCATAATATTATACCAGATATTTAACATTAATAATACTAAGAAGTTATTGGAGAGTTATTATGGTTAGACAGAGTGTATTTAATGGTTAATTTAGTTAATTGTGCTGGGTCGTCTAGTGAAGTACTGTATTGGTATATTGTTGCCACTATATAACATCAAAGTTGAAAGTATGTTTTTCCGGTGGTTTTTGATGTAATGAACGAATTTGACCTTCATTTGTGGCGCAAATCAATAGTTTTGAGATAAGCCCCTGGTGAATTAATATAAGTGGACAACCATGGAGTTGTTGATCAATGTGTTGTTCCGATGGTTTAGGAAAATATTCGTCCATTGGCTGTCCTCGGGTTTTGTATGAGAATGTTTTTTTTTTTAGATTTTTCAGTGTTTTACTCAAATGTGCCCTTTTCTTTTGTAAAGTAACGTTTTGCCAAAAAATAACATTTTCAATTTTAACAAACTGCTAATTTTGCCAATAAAATAGAGGTCAAATTTGAATAAAACACCAAAGTACACCAAAAACTAATTCTCATACCAAAGAACCTACCTAACCTAACCTACGAGGAGGAGACGAGTTAGGAGTATAACCTCGGGTAAACATGGCGGGAACCTGCGGACAGCCAATGGACCAATATTAACCCACTTTTCTTCAATGACGTTTCCCTCACAAATGACTTAAATATAGCAGGGAGATTAGGTAATTTTAAGTAATTTCTGAGGAAAACGTCGTAGAAGAAACGTGTTTTAACATTGTCTAAACTATTGGAAAAACACATTGCTCAACAAAAAGTCAATGGTTGTCCACTTGTAAAAATTTACCACCCTGCCCCTCAGAAACTAGAGCTATAAGAATCGAGGTAAAAAGTGTCCAAAACGCACCAAAACCCATCGGAAAAAGTTTTGGATTTAACCTAACCTAACCAAACCTAAGCTAACGTGGGTGTGTACCGCCATGAACAGACATACATAATGAACTGTTAAATATCTCGCTTGAACGTATTTTGTTCCAGAAATGTTATTGAAGAAAATTGTCTTAGAATTGTCAAAATTACCGATTGCAATTATAAAATTCCCGAGATTCATTTAGCGACAAGTGAAATGGCAAAAATAGGTTTTCCCTAGTGTATTATGTTTTTCGAGCAATTCTAACCTTCATTTCTGGTATAAATGAGCCGTTATGGAGATATGACCTCAGTTACCGGGACGAGTTTGATTTTGTTCATTTTTTCCACAGGTGGTGTTATTATAGAATTTTAAGAGGCGACATTTGCTAGAAGCTAATACTGTACTGTATAATCTGATGTAATATAACCCACCAAAGCGACCTACCTAACCTTACCTAACTTCCTAGCCAGGGCGTGGAATTGCCTAATTAAACAAAGTACTTATTTTGATATCTGGTACCAACGAAAGCAACTTTATAGAAGCGTCACTGTGTAATTTGTATTTTTGTGGATGCAAGAGTGCGCTCGGACTCGGCGAGTCGGCTATAAACAAACACGGCGCGGCAAATCGGCCAATTTTTTGGAGGAGTGTTTACGGTAAATGTAATTATTCGCCACAGAGCACGGAGAGACATCGTTTTAGTGTTGCGTGCTCGGTTTTTCAGTGTTTTCCCCCCATTTCCTCCAACCTTCATTCCTTGCCCATTACAGGTGATTTAAGATCATATAAATAATTAATAAAAAAGTGTTTTTAATTAAAATAAAAAGTTGTCGCCCCTTTTAAAATATTATAATAAGAACACTTATGGAAAATATGAACCAAATCGGAAAAACTCTTGCTGGTGGTAGTGGTGTTCTGAGAAAAAAAGAAAAAACCTAACCTAACCTTTCCTATCCCTTAACACTTCAAATAATATATTAAGGTTACTTTATTTAACTGATGATAAATTAAAAAGTTATTTCATTAATGTTTTGTCAGTGAGTCATTAGCATTTATAGGTCACTGGGGAAGCTGGAATACGTTTAAGAAACTAATTTGCAATCCCAATAGATTTGAACTGTCCTCTGATTGGTCACAGCAGATTATGTGAAATTCAAACGAAAGGAATTTAAGTATTAAATTGCGCAAAAGTTTTTGCCCGCTAGTGCAATAAGAATCCGTCAATATTGTCGTAACTTCGTCTTATTTTGGTCACGTCCACAAAATGTAACCGCGATGCGTCGCGTAAGAAACCGGGTGTGCCGATTCATTTTTTGTGCATCCGTCACAAAAGGTTAGATAGGGTTTTCAATTTTGTTTAACCTCTCATGTTGAAAGTGTAATTCAGTTTGGAAGAATGATTGTTGTTGTTGTTGTTTCTAGCGTTAAAGGAAATAAAGGTCACACGTTTCTATTAGAAAAAGCAAAACAAAATAAAAACACGGAAAATTGTAGTTTCGGCGAAGCGCCGAGGTCACACTCATTCTAAACACATCAAAAACTATTGGAAAAACCTAATTTCAACCTAACCGATTTGAGAAATCAGTTTCTCTATGTGGTATTAAACAAACAAGTGCCTTTGTTATATGTGTACGAAGTTGTTATTTGACCAAATAAACCGTCGGCTATTTGACCGGGACCTGCGAGGATCGTACGCATACGATTTTAATGGGATTGTAGTCGGGATGATTGTGGGCATTAAACAAGTCATTACACTGTGGTATTATTTAATTGTAGAAGTTTCTGTGGGCAAAAGTATTGTTTTATTTTAGATCTCGGTCAAATAATCAGTGGATATTGTGCCGAGTACCGGTCAAATAACCCCTGCCTATAATATAATAGTTTTACACTGTTGTGTATTATAGTATAGCTATTGGTTACATTTCCAGGAAGCTTCAAGGACCAACAACACACCTCCATGGCAAGTTGAGACTCGACCGTACAGACCCGTCCGATCTCGTCTACGACTCCGTTAACTGAGAAACGCCGCCGACCCGCGGAAGGTGAGACCGACTTCGTCACTTCACGTCGCGTAGTCGGGTGTACAAGTCGAGTGCATTAGAGTACTTGTATTTAAGTGCACTTGTACAGTAATCCTAAAAAAGTGGGCATTAACTTAAATGTTTGTGTCTAAAGTCACGTCCCATTGGCGTCGGTGGTACGCGACACCTCAAAACTGTGGCCCAGATTCACGTTTTCCATCCCATACCCAATTTTGAATGTGTGTTTATTTTGTTTTTCTTTAAAGTACAGTACAGTATAATATATTAATAACTTTTAGCTTCGTTTTTAAAGCCTAATTTCATTGTTATTAATTATGATACTCTACAAATACTGTGCTACTTTTTCTACTTGTATGATTCAGTTGAGCTAATTAAACTTTTATTTGCATAATGTTGAAGAAGACTACAGTACATAGTTCAAATTTTTACATATCAACAGTGCAGTACTTTATCTTAAGTAATATTTTCAGGCACTTTCTCCATCAATGCCTAAAGTGGACCTGAACCTTTGGACCTGATGTGAACTAGAATGAAGTTGGCTGGACTTCAAGTACTCTGTGGTATTGTATTTAATATTGTTGTAGTACTTTGAATGTTAGGAAAGTTCTACAGGCATTCCCCAGTTTATAAGAGTATTATGCATTAAAAACCTATATTAAATCGAATCAATATTCCTATAGACGCGCATTACAAAAGCCCAGATACTTTTCTACAATGAAAAAAAGTTCCCCCCAAATTATGTACAGTCCCCCAAAAACTATCGATAGATTTTCTTGCGGTAAAATTTGAAACTCTAGATGAAATACATTGATGTGATCCCCATTGCGTCAGCATAAGTTGTTACGCCCGCTCACTGTATCGGCAATGGAATGGCTATAGACGGCGGGTAGCGAGGGAGTCATCCTCGTGTGACATACAACCGTACAGTATATGCTTTACTATAACAAGAAATTCATTAAGCTATATTAATGTATGTATCGTGCTGGGTAGAAACAAGGCCTCAACCGAGGACTACAATAGTATCAAAATATACGTTAAATGGAAGAGTTTTGGAACGTCGCAATCGAGTAGGACCTCGAGGCGGACATTTCACCACCGTGTCGTAGTAACGGTTTCATTCGTACCGAGTTGCAGAATATAGTCGTCGACGACACGTCTGATTTATGAGAGGTGACCAAGGAAATATTACTTGATATTAGAGTGAACAGCTACAGCAATATACAATATATCGGTCTAGTTGGGATCTGCCAAATATTATTGATACGTAAATGGTATCGGTTTAATGTCACAATAAGAATTTAAATCGGCGCATCGCTGGTCGTTTTGTGGCTGGCGGCTGAGCCATCGCGATACAGCGGGTTCGCCTCCCCATTGCGTCTTTCCGATAATTCCTCGGTTCGTTTGACGTAAGATCCCATTAATGACCAGCACGGCATCGGCGTCCATTTACGACACGCAATCTCAATTCGCGTAACGTGCGATCGGAAGCCTCGGAGGATTCGCATCTTTCAAAAACATATGTATACTCATTCGTGCTCAAAGGTGTAGACGTAGAGTTAGCAACAGTTCTGAAACAGGTCGTGTAACATTGGTCGAATAGCCTCGAATCACGTCGACCCCGTGGCTAAAGATATTATTTTGGGGTGACCATACACGTCGATTATAAGCCAATACAGGAGCTTCTCGACAGACAGACGAGTCGAGTTCCCGAGGCTTGTTCGCGAGTCCAACTTAACTCTTGTAGATAATGATATACAGTGGAGCTATACTGTATATACCCAGCACATTACGGTACAGTCGGTCCCCGACTTATGACGGGGTTAGGGACCGGGTCGCGAGTCGAAAATAATACCGTACATAGAAAATCTAAAACGAGTGTCTCTCTCTCTTCTTGGCACCGCGAGAACTCTCACTCTTCCGCTTGCCAGCTATTTTAAAGGGAATTACCCAAAAAAATTTTGTCGGTACACAGCGCAATCACTAATGTCGGGACTCGAAAATAGGTAATTTGACAAAATTTTGGTACGACCGAGGCAGTCGTAGGTCGTAAGTCGAGGAGTAGCTGTATTTAACTAATGATAACAGAAAAAGTTATTTCTTTAATGTTTTGTTTTTGTGTTTTAATGTTTTGTCTGTGAGTCGGTTCTCGTCTTCAACGTTTAGGTCACGAAGGAGGCTTAAATATATCTAGAAAAAAAGTTCTTGCTCCTGCGTAAATATCACAATAGATTTGCACTGTCCTCTGTTTGGTCACAGCAGATTATGTGAAATTCGAGCGAGAGAAATTTAAATAATAAATCCCGCAAAATTGTGGGTTTCTCCCGGAAGCACGATAAGAATCCGTCAACATCGTCGCAGTTTCGTTCTACGTCGGTCACATCCACGAAGTGTAAACACTATTGGACTGTACGAAACCGGGTATGCCGATTAAATTTTTGCTCGTCCATCGCAAGAAGTTAGGTAGTTTAGTTTAGGTTAGGTTAGGTAGGGTTTTCAATGTTTTTTTTTAACCCGTCATGTTGAAAGTAACTTTTTTTGGAAGATTCATTGTTTTTGATAGTGTAAAGAAATTAAAATCATATTTATTTATTAGAAAAAATCCAAATAAAAACTGGTAAAATTATCATTTTGGCCGTGCATCTATTTTCCAAAAGTCATAATCGTTCAAAATATCCATAAAAAGCGTTGGAAAAAGATATTTTCAACCTAACGTAACCTATTTGAGTAATCAGTTTCTCCATGTGGTGTTAAACTAATAAGTAATGTTTATTTTTAATACAAAGTTGTTATTTGACCCGGATTCTGGGCCAAATAACCGTCGGCTATTTGACCGGGACCTGCGGGGATCGTATGGGATCTTAATGGGATTGTAGTCGGGATGGTTGGGGGCATTAAACAAGTCATTACATTATGGTATTATTTAATTGTATAATTTCTGTTGACAAAAGGATTTAGTTGTGGTACTTTGAATGTTAGGAAAGTTGTACAGGCATTCCCCAGTTTGTAAGAGTACTGTGTCTTATAAAAACCTATGGTAAATCGAATCAATATTCCTATAGACTCACATTATAAAAGCCAAGATACTTTTCTTCAATGAAAAAAGTTCCCCCCAATTATGTAGTCTCCAAAAAGTATCGACAGATTTTCTAGCGGTAAAATTTGAAACGCTGGGTGAAAGACTTTGATGTGATCTCCAGTGCATCAGCATAAATTGGTACAGGTACATCCGGTCACTATATGAGCAACAGCCATAGACGGCGGGTAGCGAGAGAGGGAGTCATCCTCGCGTGACATACGACCGTACAGTATATGCTTTACTATAACAAGAAATCCATTAAGCTATATTAATGTATGTATCGTGCTGGGTAGAAGCAAGGCATTTGTAAAGAAGCCCCTGACTGAGGATTACAATAACATGGAAATATACTTTAAATGGAAGAGTTTCGGATCACAACCGAGGCGAACATTTCACCGTGTCGTAGTGACGGTTTCATTCGTACCGAGTTGCAGAATATAGTCGTCGACGACACGTATGATTTATGAGAGGTGACCAAGGAAATAGTAGTTGATATTAGAGTGAACAGCTACAGCAATATACAGTATATCGGTCTAATTGGGATCTGCCAAATATTATTGATTCGTAAATAGTGTCGGTTTAACGTCACAATAAGAATTTAAATCGGCGCGTCGCCGGTCGTTTCGTGGCGGCTGACCCATCGCGATACCGCGGGTTCGCTCGCCCCGTTGCGTCTTTCCGATAATTCCTCGGTTCGTTTGACGTAAGATCCCATTAATGACCGGCACGGCGTCGGCGTCCATTTACGACACGCAATCTCAATTCGCTTGACGTGCGATCGGAAGCCTCGGAGGATTCGTATCTCTCAAAAACATACGTATGCTCATTCGTGCTCAGAGGTGTAGACGTAGAGTTAGCGACAGTTCTGAAACGGATCGTGTAACATTGGTCGAATAGCCTCGAAGCACGTCGACCCTGTGGCTAAAGCTATTATTTTGGGGTGACCGTACTCGTCGATTATAAGCCAATACCGTATAGGAGCTCTTCGACCGACAGACGAGTCGAGCTCCCGAGGCTCGTTCGCGAGTCCGACTTAACTCTTGTAGATAATGATATACAGTAGAGCTATACCGTATATAGCCAGTACATTACGGTACAGTCGGTCTCCGGCTTACGACGGGGTCAGGGACCGGCGACCGGGTCGCAAGTCGAAAATGGGAAAATAATACTGTACATAGATGGGCGTCTCATTTTCTTCTCGGCACCACGAAACTCTCACTCTTACGCTTGCCGGCCATTTTAAAGGGAATTACAAATGAAAATGTTGTCGGTACACAGCGCAATCACTAATGTCTGCATTCAAAAATACGTAATTTGACAACATTTTGGTACGACCGAGGCGGTCGTATGTCGATTGATTGATTGATACGTTTATTGAGATACAAAAAAAACATTAATACATCTCAAAGGGATGAAGTGACATAAGTCATCCTCACCCCAGTCCAAACATCCACTCTATTTGCATGGGGACATTATTTATATGGGCATTTCTATATACATTAAGCAATGGGCATTCCAGTATATAATGTGGCAGGGTATGGGATCTGGATGTTCTACAAACTCTACATTCTTTATCCTGTTCACTTCTCTCAGCTCCAAGTTCCCAATAATATTTATATCCTAATCTTAACCTCATATACACTGAATCTTTCCACCTACTCCTATCTTTCCCATATGTAAATTTTGTGTTCATGAGAACATGATGGTAATGTTTCATTGTTTCACTTTTCTCGTATATTTCATTCCTTTTGAAATTATCTTCTATTGATTGTATTTTCCGTAATTTGCTCCTTAATTGCTTCAAGGTTTTAGTACATATTATGTCGATCTCGGCCTTTTCCGTGGCACTTTTTGCTATTATATCTACTGCTTCATTAAGACCAATCCCCACATGTGAAGGGACCCATACAAATTGAACATTATGGCCATTTTTCCTTATTGTATTTACTAATTTTCTACATGAACCAATAATGTGTCCAAAGACTGGACTCCCACTGTTCAAAGAATCCAAAGCTGCCCTACTATCAACAAAAAAATATGCATCTTTATACCTCTTTACAACATTTTCCAATCCTACTAACATTGCATATAACTCAGCTTGTGTTGATGAAATAAAACTGCTCAACCGAAGTCCAATTTTGATGTCATCATTTCCTTGTTCTGTGTACTGTCTTATAAGGATCCCGCACCCTGCCCTGCCACTTGACATAACTGAACCGTCACAAAAAACATGCAATGTGTTTATTTTAGGCAAATTACTAATCTTATTCCCATATAAAGCCCTTATAACTGTCCTGGTTCATGTAATGATTTCTTCATTGTGAGAGGCACTATGTCTAACTCTACTTCTCGTTCTTCCCAGGGTGGATTCTTACAACTCTTCTGAACAGCTGTACACCAGTCTGCCAGATTACATTTTTTAATAATATTTATTAATCCATTCATGTATCCTCTCTTGCCTTGCCTGCAGAAGGTCCTTTTATC